GAAAGGTCAAAAAATGCCTCCTGCATTTAACTTTAGATCAGTCTTGGTTTCATCTGGTTATACACTATAACATTCTTATTTCACTACATAAAATAGGAAGCTATTGTAAATATCCTCTTTGGCTAGCAGAGGCTTGGACTTCCATAACATTTTCCACCTGACCTTCTCAGAGTACTTTGCAAACATTCTCTCAGACTTGTCAGATTGTGGGTGGCAAGTTAATATTAGCTTCTTTTACAAAGCAAGAAAACAGGCAGCAGAAATTTAGCAACTTGTCCAAAGTTACACAGGAAAGTTAGTAGCAAAACTGGGACTCAAATATCTCTCCATGTTGTGCCACAAAGAGGATATTGCACTTCCTCTCCAAAAATCTTGGAAAATTCCACAGAGGTCTCATTTATGTTTCTCTTGTAATAAACTCTGGTCCAGAAATAGGTAATCATCAGTTTTGCTGAACAAGTGTTTGGAACAGAATCAACTTTAGGATACATTTCCAGGCAATTAAAGGGACATTTTAATGGAAAAGGCAGTTAAAACAATACTCAGGTTTTCCAGAAGGTGGGAGAATATATAATAAGAATTGAAAAAGAATTTCAATATCCAAAATGCTTTCAGTGCCAGCAATGGATGTTTAGAATCTTACACACTTTTTTTTTGTTTCTTGTAGTCACATTAAATTATGCTTTACAAAAATACCAGTATGTCTCTAAAAGAATGGCCAATATGCAGACACAAGCATGAGGACTAAGGATTTTCCATGACGCTTGGCCCCCAATGCAGAACAGATTGGGAGCTTTAGCAGAATGTCAGATGCCAACTTGCAGTCCACAGGCTGAGGCTGTAATGCATTGCTGACAGCAGGTCCATGGAAGCCATTCTATTTACACCTGAAATTATAATGGGAAGAACAAGTTGCAGTCCCTGAAAAATTCATGGCAATCCATAAAAAATGTGGGGAGCCTCCCCACAAATATGGGGCCCCTTAGTCTAAAAGACCAAAACCCAGCTTTGGAATCACTATTCTTTAAGACTGTCAGCTTCAAAGCAACCCCTACCCAGCATTTTTACAAATTACTGTAACTATTCTATGAAATTACTTCACTTGATTTAAAATACAGTAAAGTTTTATCTTTAGAACCCTAACAACAGCAAATTCTCAGAAACTGCTGTTTTACAGAAGAAAACAAAACACATTTACAGCATCTAACTTTGTCTTTTTTGGGGGGGGGAGCAGACATCAGATTTGAAAGCTGAAGGGCTGCAGAATAAAACAGATGCAAACACGTTTATGTCAGGTTTTTTTTTTTTTTAAAGAATGAATAGGTAGAAAGGGCTAATACATAGTAATATAGTTATACAGTGATAAACATGAAACAGTCTATTCTATGTAAAGGCAGTTGAGGCTTGTAAAGTCAGTTTGGTGCTCCATAATGGTATGTGATTATCTCTTAATATCTCATTCCTGGCTTTTTCTTCCTGCTTCATTGTGTTTCAAAAAAAAGAAGTATTTGAAGTTTTGAACAGTGGCAATAAGAGAACTCCTGTGTATTGCTTCAGCAGTTTACACAGCATTACCTTCCCTGACACTCACTACTCAACCAAAAATATTCCCAAATTTATGTAAGGTACAAGCTTGAAGAGTGGCCTCTTTCTCAGGTATTTTATTCAGCAAGGGGAGTTCACTAGAAAACTTTACTAACATTTTTCTTATATAAAATGTGCTTTCAGTTGGAAAGATACTATTTAAGTTCTAATCATACACATTGGCTAGAAAGAGGTAACCAATTTTTTTCACCATGTAAGTAATTTATTGAGTAAGAAGAGACTCACTGAGCACAAATAACAGAAAACTTAAATTTCTAACAGAAATGTACTAGTATTTCTGCCTCTGGAAAGGAAATAACAATTCTGGCTTACCCTCCTCTTCTTCCTTAAAGGTTTTATTTATTATTTTTGTTCTATTCCACAGGCTCTAATTTTAACTACCATACACTCTGATGACAAAATAGAAAGAGTATTTTGACAGCAGACAGGCTGTAAGTGGCATTTAGTCTATTTTCAGCATGAATTTAAGATAGCCTTTTCATTTTATGCAAATTGTAGTGTAAATTAATCCAATTACATTTTTATTACATTATCACATTGCCATCTCAAAGTTCTAATCAAGTTTAAAACAAACAAACAAACAACAACAACAACAAAAAAGGCTGCTATATTGTAAAAAAGGCTGCCACATTGTAAGGTCCCAAACCTGCCAATTATTTAAAGCAGACAGATAGCGTCCAACTGCAGAGGCTGACGGTCACATCAACATTTTACTTGCTTGGTTTTCCTTCATATCAGGTGTGGAGAAAGACAGTGAAATTTAAGTGAAACTGTAATGACAGTTGTACATCGTGGTGAACCCAACATGATGCTTTTAAACAAATGTCAGCTACAAGAGACTTTGAGATTCAATTCATGCATCCCACAAAGACAGACTTGGTTGATCAGAGCACCATTCTTCAAGATTTGAACAACTATGTTCAGGTCACCACAGACTCCTTAAAAAGCTCAACACTAAATTCACAAAATAACTAAGGCACCCAGCTGCCATATAGCTGATCTCAAAATGCTTCTCCAAATTCTTCTCCATGACTGTCTAAACCAGGAATGCCCTAACGTAAACAGACCCAACATCATCTACTGGCATGGTTGACCAGGTGACTGAGTTTTTCCTGGGCATGTGTAGAACCTGCTAACTTTGCACACTGAAAAGAAGCAAAGGCTTCTTCATCATGAGGGGACCAGTGTGGAACAGAGGTACCACCTCAAGTATCTGATTCTTAAGTGTAACTCTTGTAAAAACTTCCCATGCTGCCTCTCCCTTTCCATGTTCTCATGTTCACTATTCAAGTTCCCATGATAACTGAAGTTCCTGTAAATTCTGCTCACAACCAGACCTGCATCTCTCCTGGTTAACATCCTGGATCCATCTCAAAACTAAGCTGTGCTTGGACCCCACAGTAAATGTGGGTTTTCCCACAAGTCCCCAAGATACACAGAGTTGGGGGCAGACTCAGAGCCAACTCAGAGAAGTTTGTACAGGTTAAAATTAGAGGCAGCCCTTTCCCTCCAAAACACAGAAACAGCAGATCTGCCTGCAGCCTTGTAGGTAGTAACTCAATGCACAACTCAGCACTTGCCCAGGGAACAGAAGAACCCTACCTGCGTGTACAGAGGATCAAATTCACATCTGACCCTTGCTAGGACAGTGATTTATTCTACAGGGTAGGTTTGGAAAGGGACAGACAGGTCAGGTGGCCTCTGCATTCCCCTTCTTGAAGTTTTGCCACTATCAGACAAGAAAGTAAGCTTCAGGGAGCCAGAGAGAAGGCAAACAAGGCAAAGCCTGTATGGGGAAGACAGAAGAAAGCTTGTGCAGGGGAAGAAAAAGGAGTAGGATTTTATCTGAATGATTAAAATTCTCATCTAGGATGGATACTGATCACTGGCTTGCTGTGCTAACAGAGGTGCCTGTTTACATTCTGCACTGGAAAAAGAAGAAACTGAACATGACATACTTCCCCCCAGAACACATAGTAAAAATGTAAAGGTTGGACTCCAATTAGTCTTTTTGGCTACATTACAAGACAGGACTGATCTGACTTATGTGTCTAAATGTAGAAAATTATCATTGCAGAGAACCCCACTGGAAATAATGTGAAGTTCGTATCCATTGAGTGACTTACCTAGAGCCTCAGCACAGCTTTTGAACCTTGATATAGTCACAATAAACTTACTGGAACAGGGGTTACAATTGCAACAATGTTTTAAGAATCGAGAATTAGACCTAACTAGAAGCACTTAAGAAACAGTCTCTAGACCTATCACTTGTTTCTAGCTATGTAACTGTTGCAGGCTGAACCAGATCAGTTTATATCTGCTGAGGGTAAGGTAAACACAGGGTTCAGAAAACCGCAGAGGCAGTGGGCCAACCTGTTACACAACTTAAAGGTGTTACTTTGTTGGTAGCAACTCAGTGTGAGCCAATACCGATTCTCACGGAGGCAAGAAGCTATGAATTACCAGCATCCGCCTCTCTGTGAAGCAGGGACTTTTATTGAATTCCGAACTGCACAGGAATGTAGATCTTGTGGCTCCTACCAGCTTTGCTGGGCAACATTCAAAGTCTCTGTGCTACAAATTGCTAATTCCCAGTCTATGTTAATCTGCCTGTACTCACCCTAAAACCTCATAGTATTATCTCCAGACAGGCAACATATCTCAGCTGAGGTAGCACACTAGCTGTTTTGTACCCATATTGTGCAATAACTTGCAGGACAACAGGCCTGGTTCCACCTGTGAATGGCAGGCGTGTTCTAGAGCAAGCTGCATGTGCTGTATCATCATCAAGGGTATTAGCACTGAGGCTTACTTCAGTATCCTTGCACACAGATCCTAAACCTCCTAAAGCAGGGCTCAATTAGGAGTTTAAACAGAGATCAGAAGTATTTAACTCCTCAAAACCGCTACACAGCTGCTGCTTCACACCGAAGACGGTTTTGTTTCTCTGTGTTAAAGACCTCCTGGTCCCTGGAGTCTGGCCTGGGCAGAGAGCGACAATTATGTCCCAGCGAAGATTAGCGCCTTGTCCTGACCCAGGCCGCGGGTCCGCCCCTGACTGACCGCCGCAAAGGGAGCGACTGCGCCACCGGCTAGCTCCTCACTGCAGCACGAAGCCGCCTCCCCACCTCCGACAGCAGCGATCCAGGGGTACGAACCGTCTCCTTACACAGCACAGCACCCCCTCACCCCAGGGGCTGCTCGGAGCACCGGTACCCGGGCCAACTGCCATAAGGTCCACGCGCAGCTCCACACACCACACCCTCCCTACTCGCGAAACACCACGTGCTCCAGCTCCACCAATAGGCAGCGGCGCCCTCCCCAGCAGGTCTCGCGGGAACGGCGGGACCCTATTTAAGGCCCGGGAAGCTCGTCTCTACCCTTTCCGTTGTCTCCCATCGCTGCGGTAAGGCGGCTGCCGGAGTGCCGGGTTCCTGACAGGCGGGGGCAGGGGTGGTCCTTGCCGGGCTCTTCCCTTCACATCTTGCCCTCTCGGAGCCTGGCGGTGCTTCGCGGAGTCAACACAGGGGGATAGAGCACCTTTCCCTCACAAAAACCCAGGGCGGAGCCTTCCCCTCCGCCCTGCATCCTGTCGTGAGGCACAAGCGGTCCCGCTCCCTCCCTTCCCCGAGGCCCCTCGCTCTCAGGGCTGACTTATCTCTCTGTACCCCCCGCAGTGTGGAGAGACGAAGGCAGCGGGAAGCGTCCCATGGCACCGGCAAGGCCGTCAGATGGCCCCGAAGGCTTTGTCCGCTGCGCGGCCGCGCCCGGCGTGAGCAGCTGGCACGGGGTAGTAGGCCTTGCCAGCGGGGACCGCTGGGGAGCTGGAGTCGTGACTTTGACCGTCCGTAGGTAAGGGGGCACATCGAGTTGACCACATCTCTGAGTCTAGGGCTGATTAGGTGAGGTTTGGGATGTCAGAGACAGAGGGCTGTGAATCTGAGACTTCCTACCACTTGTAGACAAGCTTGCCCGAGAGTGCTGGTCTGCATTACTGTGAGATGAAGTATTTATCTATACTTGTACCTTTTACTTTCTTATATTTTTTTTTTTCTTATAAGCTGCATCAGGAAAAGTAGTCGTAACCTGCAGTGTTCCGGGTTCCAAATGCTGTAGGCACTTAAGTTCAAATGGATTTGATAACTTTTAAAACAAGGAAAAGTCACTGCGTAGCCTTTTGGCCCAGACTTCTAGTACGTGTGCAGCAGTAACTTGGTATACCTTTTGGTTGAGAGTATCATTTGGTTGAGTGTATCATTTGCTGCAAGGTATATGTAAGTAGGAAAAATGCGGTAATAAATTGCCTGGTAAAGATCAGTCTGCTAAATCTAGAAAATCTACAGCTTGCTTAAGGATGGTGTCAGCACTAAAAGCAATTTAGGCTAAAAAAAATCCCATTGTTTATGATTAGTAGTATATTTTTAAAGATGTTAAAAGACTTATTAAAACAATCTTCAGTAGATTGAACCATTGGCTACTTTTTGCACTAGGCTGAGATTTGAAAATGAGCTTTGTAGAGTATGACCTTGAGAGCAGTTAATTCAACATAATAGCAACTCTGTATAATAGGGGCTTTAAAAAGGTCTGTAATAGGACAATATAAAGTATATTATGATTTTAAAGTTTGTCTTTTTTTTTTTGTTTGTTTGTTTAGAGGCCACACTTAGCAATTTCATGTTTGAAATGTTCTAAATGTGGATGATCAAACCCAAACTGGAAGCAATGCTCAGGACTTCTTAGGAATATATACCTTCTGCTAGAAAGTAAGTGTGCTCCTGTCTAATGACAATTGCAAATACTTTTAAAAATTGCTTTCTGACAGTTCACAAATCTCAAGCAATTTTTAATACATCTTTTGAGTAAACTGCAAGTTCAGATCATCTTAGTTAATATTAATTTTAAAAGATCATGCTCTAATCTACTCCCCTTTTATGCTTTGCCCTCTTAAGTCTGCCAGTGTCTTAAGTGGCCAACACAGAGGGGTATAAAAGTTCTCTCTCAAACCCAGAGATAAGGTTGAAACTTTTCTCTGGATCATGCTGAGAGGAACACAGTCATGATACTCCCTTCAGGAAGCTGGTAAATCAGCTTCATTAATAGCTTATAGGTAGACTTTGATCTGTCATCTGATTATTATGCTATCCAAGCCTTTGTACCAGTTTCATGTAAATCTTGCTTACTTTTTCAGGTTTCTCAAGTCTGGTGCTTTATGGACATATGTGATAAATGTCTTCAGTGAAAACAGGTCCTTGAAAATTGGTTGATCTCCAGGTAGGTAGTGTAAAAGGGATTATCAGATGCTAGTGGATGGTTTGCCTTCTCTATCTGAAGTTAAATTTTTTCCTTACCTGAAAACAAAACAAACAAAAAAAACCACCAAAAGCTCAACCTTAGGCCAGTTACCTCTTGTGTATGCAGGATGCTGACTGCAAATAAAGTGTCTTTTACAGGGAGGAAACCAGCATGTGCAAGGGACTTGAACTTATATTAGACATCTTATGGTTTCAATGAGTGGCCAGTTTCTGAACTCATACTACACGGCTCCAGTTGTCACCTGCAATGTATTGTCTTGAACGTGGAATTGAGACAAGCAGTTGCTAAAACTATGTCCCTTCAACGGTCATGTTTAAACAGGAACCTCACCATTTGTTGAAATAGGTTTCTTACCAAAAACTCATGTAACTTAACGTCTGTGTGGATTAATTGAAATAAAATATATGAGAATGCTACCAGAAGCTTGTGTGTTCTGAAGATTTCTTTTTGGGTACTTCCTGTATCTAAATACTTTGTGTTTTCATGCAGAAACATTTTCTTACATGCAAACTTGATAAGTTTAACCTTTAATTTACAAATCCATTGAAAATGCACTCCTTAATATTCATCTTCTATTCTGAATGTCTGGTCATGGTTTTCTGAAGTATTTCAGAATGTAAAAACGCTGAGATAACTGGGCAACTTCTAAGTTATTTCATTAGGCTGCATTTACATATTCTCCAACTTAGTGAAAAGATTGTCTCAAACTTTAGAAGAACAGTTATCCTTAGCAAGCATCCCATCACCTCTTTCAAATAAACAAAAGAAAATTTTGCAATATTCCATGTAAAAAATGACTGCATAGATCTTCTGAGAGAAAGATCAATATCTGTGAAAGAAAGCTTGTATGTGTTTTTCAGTTGCTTATGTTTAAGCAAATGCTAAAAACCTTTTCCCCAGTGGTAGAAATTGAAGTGATTTATGTGCATCCTATTACTAGCCTTAGAAAGCAGAAACAAGGACATAAGATAGTAGCTTGCCGGCACTCCCCACTGCCTACACAGGGAAGCGAGTGGTTTTAGGGCCAAATTCTTAAATATGCTCTGTTAGATTCAACCCCAGTCTGGCTAGGAAGTCTTCTGGTTGTTGTCTCTGCTTAAATATAAAGTGGTGTCTTTTGTGGTCTTGTATTTGTAGCCCACTAGGCTTACGTAAGTCTTGTCCTCTGGACTTGTGTTTTAATAAAAGATGAAACTGAATTTGAAGGGTATACAAAAGTACTTTATATTAAACCTGTCTGACAACTGTCTGGTTCCTGTTATGAGACAGAATGAATCATTTTCCTGCAAGCCTTGTCAGTCATTTTATAGACATTTGTCCTCTGCAGTCACACTCAAGGAATAAGCTTTAGTCTATTCAGTCTTGCCTTATGTGAGAGTGGTTTCATATCTGATTCATGCTGCCCTGTCCAGGTTTTTTAAATCTTGCTTCTTTCATGTTCTGTACTAATTGATAGTATTCGACATAGATAGGCTTCTAAATGTTCTGTCCTGTTCTCATTAACTAGTAAGCTTGTTTACATTTGGTAGCTTAGGATAATATTTTCAGTGAGCTGTCTACACTTCCAGAGCTTTCTGAAGGGAGTGGAAGCTATCTTGGAATTACAGTTGGAGTTTTCCTTTCCAGACTCATTAGCCAGGCAATAAATAGTGTTAAAATCCATCTGCGGCTCTGTCCATGAGGATCTTGTCAGAATCAAAGATCTTTTGGAGTCTGCAGCCATGGTTAGTTTTGAGTATTCTGTTGGGTTTCTTTTTTTTCACATCAGTATATGCTAAAACCAGAACTTTGAAATCTTTTCACTTAAAACTATTTCTTCCTTTCCTTTCTGAATTAATGGTCTCAGTGTATAGTAGGAGTCCCTTCTCTTTCATGGTATCTATCATGCCCTTTGACTCATGTTCTGTGCTTAGGTGCTGACACCTGAGACTTGTTTGGGTTTTTTTGAGGCATTGCTATTCAACCTCATGCTGTGAGATTGGTGATAAAAAGTACCATTAAATTCTAATGACTTGGTCTTTATTCACAAATTTGTTCTAAAATGTTCCAGACAGGCCCTTGTTCATTCATCCCTGGTTTTTAAAAACTTTGGGAAAATAATCTCTATCACAGACAAATCATTCATTTGACTTTTGTAATGCAGCCGTCAGATGCTCAAAGACTCCTTTCATACTTGTTCATTTCTTGGGCTTGCAAATTCTTTTGCAGACTGCCTGCTTGTGATCCGTTTGAAGAGATTCTGTTAATTCTTGTATTGTTCCTTAAACATTGCTGCTGCTGCTTCAGTATCATACAGATTTAAACTGGGTTTTTCAGTTCTACTTCTTGTTTTGACATGACTTGTAGTTACTGAAAGGTACAGTTTCACATTCCTGGTTTAAAAGTGCTATTATTTTGTGTGTTTTGATTTGCCCATCAGAGTGATTAAAACTTGTCTTTTAAGCAACATTCTATCTGTTTAGCCATACTGCACCATTTTTAACTGGTATTTTAAAGTAGTTTCATTATTCTCCTTTTTTAGCTTTCCTAAAGGGAGAAAGTTGCCTTAAATTTCAAAGAAGTTCAATGTAGAAATGTTTTAGGATGTGCTGCTTTCAACTACTGACAGCTGAAATTTTGTTTCCTGTCAGTCTTTCTGTTGCAGAAGATAAGCTTTTTCATGTTAATGGCTTACACGCTTGTAAGTATACTGGCAGTCTGTTATACAAGTTAATGCAGTGTTAAAGTCCTCATTTGCTGTAGCTATTAATGAAGTACCCACATGCCACTAAGTGATAATGTTGCATGTCCACTCTTTGCTGTTCTGTCTTTCTGAAATATCTGGTCAGAAAGACTGATGGAGAGATATAATTGACTCTTAAACATGATTGTTATCCTGATTTTACACAGCATAAATGGATTCAGTTTGCTGGTTTTAGTGCATCTGGAGAGAGCAAGAATGAAAATAGTATACTTGAGACTTCATTCATGGTGAATGCTTAAAGTTTTGCCTACCTCATTCTTAGGCAATCTTAAGGCAATAATTAAAAAATGTGAAGATTTATTTTTATTTTTTTCCAGTAGAACTGGTTTAATACAAAATCAAATTTAGAGTTTGTATTTTAAACTAATGAAGTATCCAATAGTTTCATGGGTTTATAAGGCTCATGACTTTTACATTTGAGTATTATCACTCAGTTGGGGCCATTATTCCATGCTAAAAACTGATTTTGAAGAAACTGGTTGGCATAATATGTCACTTGAGAGCACTCTGTTGTGTGACTTCTTGTGAGTAGTTATACTAAGAAATCTCTTTTCAAGTAACTTTGACTTGTTTCTATTACATCTTTAGGCTTTTTGGAATATAAATATGTTGGTTCAGGGATCATTCACCTAATTATATTTATGGTATATCATGTTAAAGTAGTGAAGCAAAACAAAGGGATTAGTATTAGCCTAGGAATATGAAGTAAGTCTAAATCTGTTCTGATAAATCTTTATTGTTGTATATGACCTCATTCATCCTGACCACCACCTTGTGGACTGTATACTTGGGGCTGTGCAGTTTGCTAAGGGAGAGCTGGTTTGTATGAATCCTGTCCTCTAAATGAAGTTATAAGATTGAAAGTTTTCCTTTTATTACTCATTGGAAAAGTGAAGACTAGTAGAAGAAAAAAAGCCAAGTTTGCTGGAGAACAGTCAAGGGCTAACTAATTGGCTTACACCATTATAGATTTGTATTAACTAGCCTTGTTAGAGGCTAAATAATATAAGCAAAACTGTCATTTTATAAATTTTTGTATGTATGGTTTGCTCAGTAGGGATCATATGAGAGTTTGGGGGAAAATAAAGATGGAGGAAAGCTATAATATGGCTTTTAATCTCTACATTTGTGTTTATCTTGGCTATTGATTGCAAATGTAGGAATGCTGCTTTGGCTTTTCATTAACTGAATCTGCAAGAAGGTTAAATTTGTTCAGCAAGACTGAAGATTGTCACAGAAGGTGGAATATTTTCATACCTGTGTATGCATTCTGTGTTCTAGCACGCAGTTGAAAAACATGGTATTTCCTACTTCCTTTTAGTAATTCGTTACAACTGTTAAGACTCAATGATCAAATGCAGGTAGAAAAGCTGTAGAATGAAATGTGCTTGAGGAGTAACGTGTGCTGAGCCCTGGACTATTGTTTTCTGTACACAGGGCTACACGCAAGGGTCTGGCAAGGCACAAGAATTCTTATTCTCCCGTTTTTTTTTGAATTGAGAGCAGTTGTTGGGGGACCATCTTAAAAGCCTGGTACTCCTCAAGAATTTCAGTTCTTACGCGCTTGGCAATATCGGAATTTGTGTGATGACTTTTACTTAGTACATAGGTTTGTGATCTGCAGGGTTTGTACTGCTTTCTTTTTAAGAATCTAAAGTTTGGACGCAGGTATTAATGTTAGAGTCAGGTTTATGACTCTCTGTGTCCTTACATTAATATATCATACATACTGATCTTCAGTGGAAAGCTCAGAGGCAATACTCAAGTAATAACAGCTACTTGTCCTAACTATTCAAGTTGATGGTTAGTTGCCTGTATCTTCCTTATGTTTCCTCCTGCTTTCACATAATGTTACAGTCATATCCAAGATTTCTCATTTTATGCAAGGAGCAAAATAGCAGTAGGGTGAGAATATAGGCTGAATGCACACAGAGAAACAATGATTGTGCATCCCATGTATTCTGGTTTAGATCAATGCAGGCAGACATTTCTTACAAAAGTACAGCTTATGAGATGGAAAACCCCTCTTCTTATGGTCATCAGCTATCAGATCTATATGTAACATGTTTTCTTAAAGCTTTCTACATTTAGTTTCTGATGCAACTCACACTGGATTTTTCCACACATCAATACTTTTTCTTACCTAAATAAAGGTGAAAGCTGTGTGACCTTCACTGACGTTCATTGCTGCAAGAGAGGACCTTTTCTGTTCAGTGAACTTTGATGTAAAGATGAGAGTTTTCCTCCTATGCTTCGATATTTAATTTCTACAGCTTTGACTCAGTGCATAGATGCTGAATGCTTGAAGACTGAAAACACTCAGTCTTTCAGATCGAAAAAGGTACAGAGACTGACAACAATGACTTGGCATGTTCAGATTGTGTTGTGCTTACTGTAAGACACAAAGTTAATTTAATTCACAACACAGTCTAAAAAATGTATTTCAATTAAATATACCTTATTAAAATCATGAGCAGGAGTAATTGGAAATAGGCATACCCCTAGCAAGAGCAGTGTGCACAAAACCAGGGGGTAAAAAAGTGCTGGAATTTCCTGCTTTTAGCACTGGCTGGGTTTGGAGATGATAGGTTATGTGTATCTCTGGTTTGTTTAATGTAGCAGGTGAGGTCATTTTATTTCCTTCTCAGTGGTATATTGCACACTAAAGCAGAGGTGGTATGTGGGGCCTATGATTCAGAGTGTTTTTCAGACTGTCTCCTGACAAGTGAAAGGACTGCATGAAAGTAAATTATATAAGGACATTTGGCTTGGATTTTACAGTGCTCTTGCCATTGAGTCTTAATGCAGATGATGTAGGAGGATGAAGTCCCAGCTTCTGTTTGGCTGTATCATGATCAGTGCCTTCAAAATAGAATATTATCTCATGTAGTTTGGAAAGTGAAAGAAAATCAATTGCAACTCTGTAGGAAAAAAAACCCACCAAACTGCAAGCTGCTTGGAAAGACTGATAACTAATGTTCTCAGGATTTTAGTAATGGATCCTATTAGGTTCATCGCGTCTTTTTTTTTTCCCTCCAAAGTGTAAACATAAAATACATACATCACACTTGACTGATAAAGTAACCAGAACGGAATAAAGCCAAGAAAATATACAGAAGGATGAAATCTGTGTTCAGAAATAATGTGGACTCCCTCACATACCCAGACTCAAGACGCTGATTTCAGGTCCAGTATGGCACAAATGTTTTAGAGTTGCTGTTAAGGTGTGACATCCAGATACCTCTGGGCTTTTTCAAAATCTGTGTTTTAGACCTTGCTGCTGCTGTTTCAATTTGCAGATAGGTTATGGCCCCTTTGTCCTCTGATGTGTGCTATAGAAGACAAAAACCCAACAAACAAACAAAAAAGTAAGTAGAAAAATTGTACAAATAAGTAACAGGGTGACCTTTTTTACTGCTATTGAGGTGCTGTATCTCTGTTTTTTCTTCCAAACTAAAGTTTTATTGCTGGATCTTTTTTTACTCCCATTATTTCATCTGTTCTCACCTGATTTGATGTAAGACCTTACAGTGTGTCAATTACCATGAGTCAAAGACGAAGGAAGATCTCAAGGTACTCCTGTAGCTTGGTCCTATTAAACTCTACACCATGTTCCTCAGGCTGCCAAGTTCTTTCTGGTCTCCTCAGTCTACAGTCTTCCTCTGCAGTAGCCATGATTTTCACATCTGGTGGAGCTTCCTCCAAACAACCAGTTTATAAAACTCAATAGGTTTATTATAGTGTTTGAGTTTTGTTATTGCTGTTTCTCAGAAATGCTAAACAAAAACCCTGTCTTCAACTAACAGAATATGGAGAGCAACCTCTTATCTCAAACTGCTTCACCACACTATGAGTTACAGGGCTGCTTAATTCTTATTAAATTGTTGCATTTTTACAAAGTGGAGATTCAGTGAAACTGTGCTTGATCACTTGAGCAGAATCAGGACCCCCCCTCCTCTCTGCAAAGCTCAGTTATCTTTCTGTGGTTGCTACTGATAGCCTACTGTCTAAATTGATTTGAGGTGCTGTCCTCAGTCTTGCCTCTTTCTTACCCCTGTAGCTCACCTCACCATTCCTGCTCTGTGCTGTGCTACCAGGTGCCCAGTCAGAAGGTTTGGGGATATATAAAGTTTGGTTATTTGTACCATTTCTCACTAATCCATATGCTGTTAACCTGAGCTCGTCTTTGATCTTGTTCCGCAGGATATGACAAGTTTTTGGCTTAACTCATGCATTTTCTCAATTCCCTTTGGTTTTTGCTTTAAGAACAATGATCTTTAATCCTCTGTGTAAGTGATCTGTCCTTTCATTGTGGCTTCTCAGTTTAACTGTGAATTATTCCCATTTCACCATTTTCTGTTTTCATTCATACCGAGTTTACCTTAAGAAGGTTTTTAATATCCTCCCAATATTTTGTGTGAGCACAGAGAGAAAAGGACCCTTGTAATTTCTAATTGGAATCTTTGAAGTAGTTATAGACTGCAATGTAAATGCCTTTAGTTTTATTCTGTTGGACTTTTACATAGTTTATATATGTCTTTATTGCACTGAGATTTGAGCACAAGTCAGACTGCTTAAGAAGGTCTTGCACAAAACTTAGTAGTGCAAAATGTTGTTGCCATTTTCTTGTGGAAAAGTAAATTAGAGATGAATATTTCATGTACTGAAAAGGGGGTGGAGAAGATTTGTTTTTGCTGCCAAGTAAATTATTTTCAGTTGTCAGATTTCAAAGCTCCAAGTAAGAATATCATATGGATCATCTGTTTGCTTATACTCCCAGCTGCCATTCATTCTACTCTGGCAGAATTTCTCATGGTAGAGCCTATAAATTGCATGTTTTGAAGTAATTTAAAATAAAGGCTTTGAGGGTAGGGTGTTTCAGAACTGGATTCTTTCCAGTCTTTTTGGAATTAGAGTTTTACTGTTGATGTCAATAGAGCAAACTTTGGCCGGCGGTGCATGGTTTGCAAATCCCACTGCTGGTTACTAAAATCAAAATCATTGGTATTCCTTAATCTCTTCAGGTGGCAGGGTGTGTTTGGTTCAGAAGGGTAATTTGCATTGGCCACACTGAAACTCTTGATAATATCATTCTTTACTTATGTCATGAAGCCAAGAGGCAATCAAGGAAACAGAAAACACACAGACACAGTTCTTTTAAGATGTTTTAGTTCATGCCCCATGTATCATCAGATACATCACACAATATAAGTAGTCTTGCAAATACTAACTATTTTAGTCGGCAGGAGCTTGATTTGATTATGTTTTTGTTATGATGCCTTTCTTCTAAGAATCTGAGCTGGTCCTGTGTAATACTTGGTTTTTGTCTCAAAATACAGCTCTGGAGGTAGAGTCACTGTTTGCTGTTCATATCCATAGTCTAGAACACTGCAGAGCCAACCTGTAAATGAAAACAATCACTGAGCTAAAGGGTTTTAGGAAAAGATGAGTTTGTACAGGGAATGGTGTGAAAGACTTGATCTAGAATACAAGGACAGACTCAGATTGCTGTGTGCATGCTTTAGTGTTATTGTTGTAGCATCACTGGGGTAAAAGAAAATCCTATTTAAACAACATGTCATTAGTTGTAATTAAAAACTAGATATAACAGAGTTAAAATAATTAAACAAACCTACATAGAGAATGATAGCTTGAGGAAGCACCATGAGATGTCTGAAAAACAGTTTATAGCCATCACATGCAGGGGTGTAATTCCAATTTTAATTTGAAGCTGGAAAGCTACCCCAAATTTGATTTAAGTTTTTTAGCATGGACTGAAGAAAAATGTAGATATGGTTGTGTGAATGTTTCTGAAGAATGAAAGCACAGAGTGAAGATGCAGTGAGTTGTGTTTCACCTCTCATTTAGGAGTCTTGAGAGCTGGGTTTGGTTGTTTTTGTTTGAAATAGCTCAATAAACACCATTAACTGAATGCCACCTGTGGTGGGAAGTCCATTCATTCAGTCCCCTAAAAACATTAACTGAGGGGGGAAAAATAATCAAAGTCCCTGCTAAAGAGATGCTAAATCTTGTTTGTGACAACATAAGCTTTGGTCCACCAACAAAGTATTGATGCACGTTGGATTACAAATTCAAAGTCAACATGGGTATTAGTTGGTGATCAAAACTTATCTAGAGCTGATATAGTGTTGGCAAGAACAGAATGAAGCATGGACCAAAATGTGGACGTTACGGGGAATAAACAGGAAGAATTAGAGAGCTGCAGGCATAGCCTGCATGACTGGAATGCTGTGATGGATACATAGTTTTTAGCAAAGATAGGCCGGGAAGGCAAGTTGGTGGAGCTGCTCTTCAGGTGAGACAGCAACTGTAGTATGTCAAGATTTGCCTAGGGGTGGATGAAGAATGAGTCCAGAACTTATGGGTAAGAATTAAGGGGCAGACTAGCACAGGTGGCACTGTTGTGGGCCTGTTACTACAGGCCACCTACCTGATCAGGAAGTCAATGATGCAGCTGAAAGCAACCTCATGATCACAGGCCCTGGTTTTTATGCAGGGCTTCAACTACCCTGATAATCTGCCAGAAAAACAACACAGCTGGGCACACGCAGTCCAGGAGGTTCCTACATTGACTTTTTGACACAGTTGATGAAGGAGTCAGTAAGGAGAGGTGTGCTGCTGGACCCTCTACTAACAAAGTTTGGTTGGGGATGTGAACGTTGGGGGCAGCCTTGGGTGGAGTGACCATGAGGTAGTGGAGTTTAGGATCCTGCATGGAGGAAGCAAGGTAATAAGTTGAATTACAGCCCTGGATTTTAGGAGAGCTAACTTCATCCACCTGCATGTGATGCTATGCAATCTGCTCTAGGTGAACTTGCTTTAGCAGGGGGTTTGGACTAGATAATGTCCAGAGCTTGCTTCCAGCTTCAACCACTCTGTAATTTTGTAAAACTCAGTATGTCTAGTCTACATTGAAACTGAACTAGTCCTTGTTTGATGATTTATATATCAAAGCTAGAAGCATGTCACAGACCTCTCACATTTCTGACCTGTTATTTAACAAGAGGGGGGATATTCAGTACAAGGAATTGGTTATCGGTGTCTGGAGGTTGATATTTTAGGAGTCTGAAATATACTTTGTTCACACGCATAATCTAAAAAGATGTCCAAAACACAAGCCACACGATTAAGTGTATTACATAACAACTCAGTAACGTTGCTCTAAAAGCTCACTTGATCTTTCTGATCTTGGATAATTTTTCCCTCCAGAATTGTTTGCAGGCAGCTTGTCCAGAAAACAAATTGTTCATTTAGGTAATTGCTATTAATTCAGCTGGAATAAACTTAGGCTGATATCATCTCTGCTTGTTAGAAAAGCAGTGCTCAAATTCAGTGAGAGCATCTTTGAGTTTTCAGATGCCATTGGTTGTATTGGTGGTGTGGTTTCTGTCCTCGTGTAACTAGCAGCAGAGCCATTTGAGATCACAGACTGTGGTTCTTTGCTCCTTGTTCAGCTATAGCTCTGCTGAACACAGCGCTGGGGGTTTTACCACATTTGCTTGTTGCTTTTGATTCCAAGCTGTTTGGAGCAGGTCTGCTTATGTAAACATGCATACAGGAACAATCTGCGCCAGGATTGGATGGCTACCCAACATTAATCAGAACAAAGACAGAGGACTCATCAGGAATGTAGGTCCCAGCAGGCCCAGCTTCTGGGGGCATTATGTCTTCAGGAAAGAGTTAGGCAGTGAGGAGGAGGGTAATGGAAATGGATGGGACCTCATTACAATTTGCATGCCTGTAAAACTATGCTCTCAGACTCTTGTAGAACAAGAGAAGGGTACAGTTCCCTCACTTGGGAGTTAATTTTCTGTTCTCTCCCTGGAACTGCAAACTTATAAATGAGCCTGAAGGGCTCAGTGCAGTGTAAGAAAGTCCACTGTAATTTGTACAGAATCAGTCTGTGCTGCGATAGCAGAGAGGAACACGGTGACTAAGCCAACAGGGAGCACCATGAAATTGCATTTAGACTTCTTGCAGTATGCAAATTAATCTGCTTAGACCTAATTTTGTGGGGGAGTTTGTGCTATGAAGTCTGTGTGTATCCTAAGGGGACCTGGTTCTCTGTAGTGTTGGGCATCCAGCAACAGTGCAAGATACATGGCGTTAATGTCTTAATAATAGTAATTTCTACAACTGTTTTAAATAGCTGTAATTGTGTGCTGAGCAATAGAAGCAAACATGTCTCCTTATAATCATGCTTCTACAAATAACTGATTTTACTGTATTGAGTAAATTAGTTCCTTCTTGTGTTACCCATTACGTCATTGTACCCATGGTACAACAGTCAAACACCTTGACTAGCCAAGGACAAAAGTGTGCTTTTGATAAAAGGTGTCCTTGTGCCTCATTTATTCAGGGCACCTTAACTGTTATAGTCTCTGCATATGGTAACAGAGCTGCTTTTATCAAGCAGGTGACAGTTTATAACGCTTATTCACATAATGTGAAAGAAGCTTCCAGAAGTGAGAAAATTCTAGTGGAGTGTCATATATAGGTTTTTTAAACCTAATGAATTGTAACAAAAGAGGATTTTGGTCTTGTGAAGGAAATGTTCGTGTATCAAATCCAGGACATTTTGTATAATATCACGATAATTATATTGGAACACTGGGACACAAAAATAACCGCATGTAAAGTGTCAAAAAATCATATCTTCAAGTCTGTTGTTACTAGAAAATAGGTCAATTTGCACTGTTTTGAAGGATGTTTGTGACCTTTCTGGTAACGATCTTATTGGCTTGTCCTTATTCAAATTACAATTCTATCTCAAAAATAACACCTGGGTACATTTGCTGTTCGAATGCTGAGGTGGAGGACAA